GTTATTGAGCTGGACACTATGATGGAAGTTGAACATGGAGTTATACTGGATGACCTAGAGCCCTTCTACACAGCCATATAACCCAGAATATCAAGACAGATAATCCACAATATCTTCTTTGAACCAGATTATCTGAGTCCACACTGCCATATAATCCATTTCAGTGTAGATCTTTATCCTCAAGAGCAATTCTGTGGTCAATTTCTGATGGAAGTTGTCCACAGAGTCACTCTGAATGATCTATAGATTCCTAAAGAGGTGTTCTTTCAAAGAGGAAAATATTTGTTTTAATGTGTGGTTTTCCCACATTTGCAATGGTGTAGCTTTTGTTGAGAGCAGGGGAAGAAGCTCCCTCTGGAGAAGCCAAACATTTTAGACATGACTAAAGGCATTTTAGCCAGTAACAAGTAATTGATAGAGCTCAAATATAATACTTTTCTAGTCATTTTCTAGTTCACTCATCATGACTATGGTATTCTTGGGCTGGAAGACCTTCATTTCAACAGGGTTCATTATTGCACTGAGGAACTATCTCCCACAGATACACAGATTATATTATATGGCTTTTGCCATTGCGAGCAAACATATAACACCATTCAAGTTTGTTACTGGAAAAAAAATTAGTTACCAATTTACTTCTTCCAAGTTCTGGCACAAGGCAACTTGCATACTATGATTATGAAAAAGGAATGGATTTCAGTTTTGAAGGATGGATAATGAACTGAAAGGATGGTCTGACAATGAACAAAGTTTTTGTATCTTTTGCTCTTTTCATTTTTAGCAGCCGCTTGCATTTTGAAAAGAAGCAGGTAAATTTTTTAAGGTTCCTGCATGATGATAAAATGATAGAGAAAGCCTTGTCTTCTGCAGGATTATGAAGCAGGCTGTTAAAGGCAGAAGAGCAGGGCTAGGAACACAAACAAAGCCACATACAGAGAGACAATGTGGTTATGGTAGCATTAAAACAGGTGTGATCTAAAGATTTCTGTATGTTGCTGCAGGGAAGAAGACAGTTCAAGGATGCACTCTTTGTGAAAGAAGGCATGTAGAGCATCCCACTTTTAATGGCATATAACCTGGGTTCCTGGATATTGTGTGCCTCAACCGCACTTCTCCAATGCTCAGGGTGAACACACAGCTTTGAAAAAATGTGTGCATATAGCAATCCCTTGTAGAATCCAAAATCTGTGAATACTAGGCATGGGCAATCCATGGTTCTAAATGGTTGTAAAGTACTTACAAACCTAGGGGGCGCTGGTGCTATGCTTCTAAAGTGTTTCTAAAATTGGTGCTTTGCTTCTAAAGCAGTGGTTCTCAACCTGTGGGTACCCAGGTGTTTTGGCCTACAACTCCCAGAAATCCCAGCCAGTTGGCCAGCTGTTAGGGTTTCTGGGAGTTGAAGGCCAAAACATCTGGGGACCCACAGGTTGAGAACCACTGTTCTAAACTGTGGCTAAAGCTGGTGCTTTGCTTCTAAAGTGTTTCTAAATTTCTAGTGGTGACAATTTCAGAACTCTAACAAAACTTTCAAAATTTCATTATTATTGTTGTGGTTCAGCAGCAACAGCATGATGGGACTGAGAGTGCAGATGAGCATGATGGAAATGAGAGTACAGATGCAGGTGTGGGCTTTCAGTTTTCTCAGTCAAAATCTATAGCTAGAGACAAGCCGCTTTTCTCACAGGACCGGAATGTAGCTGATAAGGCAGTTGGTGGGGTTCAAGGTCAGGCTGCCCAGCAGGTGTTGAGACGGAGTTTACGAATTGCAGCCAAGTGTTGAGCTCATCCGTTGGTGGGAAAACTGCTTGTTAGCTGCCTGTTTGATGTTCAATGTTTTGATGTTTTACCTATAAGTAAACTGCCTTGGAGCTGGTTCTGTGTCAGTTCCAACGTTGCTAAATGGCTTGCTGGCCTTCGGCTCTGGGGCTTGGGGAAAAGCCTGCTTCACGCTATTTCCTGGACTTTTACTCTGCTTCTATGCTTCAAGTCTCCTGCTTTGACTCAAAGGGATTGTATTGGATTTTTACCTTGTACAACTGATCTTTTCACTGCTGATGAACTGCTTTGTTTGAAAACCTCACAATAAACTTTCTACCTCACAATTTTGGCTGGTTTGTCAGAGATAGCAAGGTGAATCTTAGCCTGAGATACAACAATTATTTCATTATTGATTATTTTTATGACAGAACCAATTAGAAACTGACATTTATAACAAAATTTGAAAGTTGTGTTCGAGTTCTGAAATTTTCACCACCAGAACATCAAAAATACTTTAGAAGCAAAGCACCAGTGCCCCCTAGTTTTGTAAGTACTTTAGAACCATTTAGAACCATGGATTGCCCATGCCTAGTGAATACTCAAGTCCCATTACATACAATGGCATAGGAAAATGGTATCTCTTATATAAAATGTTGAACAAACAAACATCAGAGAGAGCCTGTGACGTGGCTACTGTAAAGAATGCCTATGCATTAGTATAGTGTAGGGAGTGCATCATAACTGATGTTTACTTTTGAAAAAAAAATTATGTGTGTGAGCCATGGTTGGTTGAGCCTGTGGAATCAGAACCCATTGCTACAGAGGAGGGCTGAACATATATATTTTACTCATTTATTAGACTTGTGGTTGATGGTTGTGATATCATGCCTCATAGGCATTCAGGGGCTACACTTGTAACCTCATCATGGTAATATCACCAAGACACATGTCCAATTTGGCATTCCCAGAAAGCATCCCTAAGTGTCCTTTTGGTTATTCTGAATAAGAGAGCTCACATGTAAAAATTGAACAACATTGAGGACCTCATCCATGAGCAGGGAGCTGGGGGAAGCGGAGGGAACTATCTTACTTCATTCCCTACCATTGAGGTCCATCTTCTGGGATGGCCAGCCATCCTATGTCCTTTCCCCATCTTTGCCTGTGTTTTGTCATTTGGAGTCAGGTAGTACCCAACACTTAAAAACACATTCTGGGCTCCATTTTCATGTGCTGCAAAAATGAAGCCCCACTGAAAGTACCCTTACATCATCTGATGGCCTCCATGAGACTCCATTTTCTGAAGCACATGGAAACTGATCCCTGACTGTGTGGGAGTATACTAAATCTCTATTCTTTGCATGGATGATTTTATGAATCTTGCAGCAACAGCTGTGAGTAAATTGTTTATTACCATGATTAAAACTGTGGAAATTCAGAATATATATTTCTGAAGTTCAGAATGTATATTTCTTCTTGAATTTTTCCACATGGTTTGCAGTTATTGTTAAAAGACCATGGAACAGTACATTAGAAGCTGCACATAATGCCCTTTTGTCACACTCTCTTTTTCCCCCCTCCCATCCCATTTTGCAGAGTATATAGTATAGCTTTTCAGGCTTTTTCAGACGTTCTGAGAGTAGCTGCTACACAGCATGGTTTCCATTTCCCCTGGAATGAAAACGCATAATAAGCCTGACTAGAAGAACTGAGGCATGTCAAAAATGTAAATTATAAGGAAGGGCATATATATGTATTATTGCTACCAGAAAGACAACTATTCTCAGGCAAATAGCAAATGCCATTTACAGATATCAGTATATGGGATACTTCCAATAATAAGTCAAAAAAAAGTTTCCTTGTTCTTATAGCCTAGGTTTTGAGTCGTCATTTATGGAAGCAAAAGTACAGTCCTTTGTATGAGTGTCTCATTATGTGCAGAGTTAAATGAAGATGATGTTAGACAATAGCCACAAGTTAGACTTTCCATGATGAATTCTACACTGGTATTTGCTGCCTCCATTTTGGAGGCCACCTTACTTTATTTACTTGTTTTACCTATTTATTTTTATCTTGCATTTCCCCCATATAGGGACTCGAGGCTGCTAAAAGCAAACATTATAGAATACCATTAAAAACAGAGCCAATGCATTAAAATATGAATATAAAAATTAAAAATGGCAAGCTGCTAAATATTCCCTAAACATGAACCCTATCGATTATATATTAGGAAATGTACTAATAGACTTCTCAACTAACTAGGAAAATGTTGTGGTATAGCTGTTCTGTTTTGACCTAGAACCAACATGTTTGAGGGGCGTGTTGACAACTGATGAAGAAGTCCTAAGTTTGGAAATGTTAGTTTATATTTCAATTGCTTGCCATACCACCCAAAACCAGATAAAATGTGGACATTAAATATGATCAGTAAGAAATAAGCCAACATCAAACTATGATATATGAAACGTGACTTGTATACATACAGTAAACATTGTTGAGATAACCACACTTTAGAATTTTAATGACATCCTAAACTGCAGCTAATCTAAACTGTATATCAAACTGTAGCTATTTCTTCTGCAGCTAATTCCATGTTTCTAAAGAGGTTGATGCACTCCTATTGTCTCCTCTACTGACTGATGCAAATGCTAACTTGACAGGTAGAATATGAACTATAGATCAAGTGAAATGTTAAACAGTATTGGACAGGAGGAAATCAGGCCTGTTTATTACTAGGTTTCCTTGGCTAAAAGTGACTGGAAGTCACTCATTAAAAGGGCAGGCAGTTCTGCAAGTTCAATTGCAGAAAAGCATCATTTGCAAGAGAATCCTCCAGAACTGTAAAAGTAACTTTTGAGCATATGCAGACTTGTTATAAATCCAAGTACCAAAAATTATGGCAATTAATGTGAAATAGTTACATATATATATATATATATATATATATATATATATCACTAAATTTCTTGCCTCAATGCCCACAATGCTTTAGAAAGCAGAGCAGGAGTCAGCACTTGAACCATGTGATCTTCCTCCTCTATCATGTAGAGAAGCCACATACCATGTGGAAAGCTGGTGTTACACTGTAAAAGGAGTGCAATTTTCCGTCAGTATGATGCATTATCTTGCACTATAGAAGAAATCAATTACAAGACGCATATTGCTTGTAATAAACTCTTTCCAAGCTCTGCTCCAGAGGCCTGTCCTTTCACTGATGTGCGAATCTTCTCCCTTTCTTTTCCCAGAGCTCTCCCTGCCATGATGCAATGGGTTCGGACCCAGACGCCGGGTGAAAGCGGTATCAACATTGTCACTGCAGACTTTGTAGAACTGGGCGACTTTGTCAGCACAGTGATAAAACTGAACTACAACTTGTATGAAGATGAAGCTGGCGCAACTTGATAGTCCCATCGTGTCTCCAGTATGCTCCAAAGTGGAACTTTCCCCTCCAGTTGTGTTAGGTTAGGTTGTAATCTTGTGACACAGGTTTTGCAAGCACATGCTGAATATATGTATATATATATCTTTTCTTTTGAATGTACTGAGGACTTAGAAAGGGTAGGCAAAATGGGAAAGTGTTGTTTCACTTGTTATCACCTTTTTAACATTGGTTTGCTCATGTCTTATGAAATGCAACCAAGTTCCATTCATATAACTATCTTCATCAAGAAAGCCATTAAGTAAATAATATGTGAGTAACCAAATATTTTTTTGGTAATTTTGATGACCATTCATTATTATTAAGGCATAACTGGTGGCCCTATATTGCCTTCTTTCTGTGAAATAAGTTCGCATCATTGTAAGCAAAACCATGAGCAAAGGTGGTATTAATACTGCCAGGGCACTTAGAATAATAGAACCATAGAGCTGGAGGAGCTCACAAGAACCAACCAGTCCAACTCCATTCTGTATGCAGAAGCACACTAACAAAGCACACCAGTGTCATACACATATTAGTGTTGCGCTAATTGGTAGCATTAGGGTCATCGTCGTCTCCCAGGAAGGTATATGTCATCTACATTAAAGGTTGGCTAAGATTAGAAAAGAATTGCAGGTCCAATTATTAGTGTATGTATGCATTTATTTATTTATTTACAGTACTTATATTCTGCCCTTCTCGCCCCAAATCATACAACACATATACAGTAAACATTCAATGCTGATTATACAATGACGAGACAGACAACAGATAGAGGTATATTCAGGCTTTTTCTCATCATTCGGCATCTTTTGGAGGCTGTGCTCGTTTCCAGCCACAGAAGGTGCTGTCTCTCCATCTCCTCACTGAAGAGCTTTCTTTGTTTGTAAACTTTCCTCTGAAACGTTATCCTAAAATACCTCCCCTCTTAATGCAATTCCTGTTCATCTATTCACATTGCTGTTTTTGATCTGCTAGATGGGTGGGGGAGGTGGACTGAAGCTCACCCTGACCCGGTTTCAAACTGTCAACCTTTCGGTTGGCAAAATTTACTGCAGCTGCAGCAGTTGATTAACCTGCTGTGCTAAAGCGAGCCCTGGCCGATGTACAGATGTTTATGAATATTTTCTGGAATTTCTCAACAATATCCAGTTATGTTGGCTAGCATAAAACCCATAATGCACACATTTTCAATACAAGAACAGTAACTAATATAAATTGTAGTGCATAAGAGTTGCGCAAAGCAGTTGCATAACAAATAAGAGATTGTGAAGCTGCTTGTGTTTCTGTTTTGCCTAACCTTTGCACTACTAATTTCACAACTGATGAGCACAATCGTTAACTACTGCACTAGCAGAAATCATCATTCCACTAAGCTTAAATTAGATCTAAGCTTTAGAATATGCATTAGATTTTTATTTTTTTAAAAAATAAGCCCTCATTGTTAGTCTCTTGTTCTCCCAAAAGTGATTGAATGCCAGAGTCTCATTATACTTGCTTAATTTAACATCTATGACTTTGACTTGGTCAGAAGTCCATAGAAACCATAATTTGTGTTAATTTGATGCTTTCAGTGGGTCAAACCATTATTTATAAAGTTCTCAATTTTATATATATAGTGCACTCTAACTACCATGGCTCAATGCTATGGAATCATGGAAGTTGTAGTTTTACAGGGTATTTAACCATCTCCATCAAGGAATACTGGTCTTAGATTTCTTCATTGAAAAGGTCTGATTCTGAAGAGTGGTAGAGGCTCCTTCTTTGGAGGCTTTTAAACAGAGGCTGGATGGCCATCTGTCAAGGGGTGCTTTTAATGTGGTTTTCCTGCTTCTTGACAGGGGGTTGGACAAGGCCCTCAAAGTCTCTTCTGACTCTATGATTCTATGCCTCACTAAACTCAAGCTCATATGATTCCATAGCATTGAGCCATGGCAGTTAAAGTGGAGTAAACTGTACTAATTCTATATGCACCTCAAGTTGGGCTCCAACCCACTGATTTGTTTCCTTTTCTTGGAAAAGGATGTTTACATCCCAAAAGAATGACTTGTTGTGTAACAGAGGCTAACATCAAGTGCAGATGCTAACATTGCCCTAGCTTACCCAAAATGAAGAATAAAAATTATACTCATTCAGGAATGAGAGAGAATGGTTTGATGTAAAGAGTAGAATAGGTCAATGTGTTGTTAATAACTTTATATTGTAATAACCTTTCATTGTCTGTGCAGAATAACGTATGATTAAAAATACCACCTACGGCATATTTGATGGAAGATTTCCCCACTCATTGTGTTCTTAAAGGAATATATGAAATGCTATGAGGTGACAAAGTTCTTGAAGTAAGGAAATGTTAGCCTCTTGCTTCCACTTCAAATGCAGAGCCGGCAATCTGATGTCCTTTAGAAACTCTCAACTGTAGGGAGCTGTAGCACAAAACATCTGGAGGGCACAAGATTCCCACCTTCGCCTTGCAATTTAAAGGTGCGGTTGGAGGATTTGGACTGCAATAAGAATAAAATGAAGCAATTTTATGAGTCTATAACTAATGGTAAAGAAGGAGACTTGATAAATGAATCACGTGTTTCTCAGAGAAACAGCATAACTTGATTTAGAACGTGCATTAACTGAAGTTGCAGGTTGCCCTGAATTCGCTTTGAAAATCCAAAACAAATGGTGACTTTGGGTCTATGTCAGCAATTAGATTGGTTCCAAGAAAGAATTGGTCACAACTGTTACCACAGTCATTCCATATCATCCCCCTCCAGTTCTTGTCATTGCAATGGCCGGTGGGTTCAACATGGCTATTGTCCACTATTAATCACTTTGAGTGATGAGTGATTAATCAATGAGGTGATCAAAGAAGTGGGGGGGGGGGGGTTGGGAGGGTGCAATTCCTCTCTTTCCCCATCCTACATAATTCTGGTATCCTGACCGATGTCACTCCAAGCAAAGAGTGATGGAAACTAGCCATGTCACACCAGCTGGTTGTTCTGATGATGAGAAGAGGAGGGGAATGATAAGCATGACCACAGTGGTGAGGCAGCTTTGGCACCTTCTGATGGTCAGGACTCCTTCTCACCTTTACAGACTAGTGGTAAAAACCATACTGGTGCTGATCTGGCATGCAACACTCTGAATCAACCCTGGCATAAAAGGTTCATGTAGAGCAGTGGTTCCCGACCTGTGATTTGTGGACCACCAGTGGTCTGCAAGAACAAAAATATGGTCCGCAGCCCCACAATTACTACATTGTTATCTTGTAACCATGTGGCTATGAGAGCGACTGGTCTCGCAAAACCCTCTTCTAGTACTGAGGCAACAGGGATGATGAGAGGGGAGAGGCTGACTACTCACAAAAGCTTACTACAACCACATCAGCTATAGATTATTAAATATGGTTTTCAGAGGGTGAGCAGATGACAACTACTGAATGACATATGTTCAGTATCAGAAACTAGAGCTGATGTCTATCCAATGCAATTTTCTGAATCAGCACCCCAAATAACCAAACCAAATCTAAATTTGACCAAAAATTGATTCGTAACCCTTTTGGTACTAATGTTGGAGAGTGGTCCCTCGTCAAAGTGGTCCCTGGCCAAAAAAGGTTGGCAACCACTGATGTAGCACCACATTCTTTCTCCATCACTTTCTTGAATGAATTTCACTCTACTTGGAACTGGTCCTATGGTTGGCTAGAGTGAGCAACTCAGGTCTTAGGCCCCTTCCACACAGCTGAATAAAATCCCACATTTTCTGCTTTGAATTGGAATATATGGCAGTGTGGACTCAGATAACGCAGTTCAAAGCAGATATTGTGGGATTTTCTTCCTTGATATTCTGTTTTATATGGCTATGTGGAAGGGCCCTAAGATACTGGGGAAGGCCAAGAGTTGTAGCCCTCTAGTTGTTACTTCTGAATCCACTTGACCTTTCTGCATCTTGGATCCAACATATGTATTGTTCCCCATGGCCTGTTCTGTACCTCCAACTGCCCCAATTTGATAGGAACAATCCTGATTAATCTTCTGTGGTCTCACTTTTTCAGCTATTTTTGAAATACCTGAATTTACCCATCCTTAGCTTCCTTTAGTCCTTTAATTGCTTCAAATTGAATTTGAAGTGCAAAAGTAGTTTGCACTCAGGTGACTTACTGGCGGAGAAGAGAAGACTATGGGCCTATATCCCAGAATATCAAGGCAGACAATTGCACAATATCTGCTTTGAACTGCATCTGAGTCCACAATGCCATATATTCCAGTTCAATCAGATAATGTGGGATTTTTCAGCTGTATGGAAAGAGGCCTTTGTTGAATATTGCCCTTTTTAGTAAATTCAAACAAAAGCAAAGTGCTTCTTTCTCATAAATGACTTCTGTCTCATGTTGCTTTGCCACACATGTTCCAGTTTTCATTGGTGAAATGTCAAGGGCTATTCTTATGTGGTAGAAAACATTTTCCCTTATCAGCACTGAAGTTGAACTGTCTGTCAAGTAAAATCTGTGCACAGATGGAAAAGGTGAGATATCCTGTCATTTAACTCAGGAAGCAACATCTCTTGGCCTGTCTCTGATTACATATTTCAAGTTAATCTCAAGAGCTTGCACTTAAACGAAAGCAGTCACGATAACATTGCATTATTCAAGTTCAGTTGAAATGGATGGGATTTTAGCCCACTTCATATCTGTACTACGGCAAGGCTGAAACTTGAATATCACTTCATGTAGGTAATCTCCACAGGCTAATCTGTTTATTGGAAGCATTTCTCAGCAAGCCACATGGGAAAGATCTCCTTACATAAGTAAGTCCTTATTATGGAATTGGCACCAATTTCCTGGTGTGAAGCCAAATTCTTGTGAAACAGTTCATGGAGCAGAGTTTATTTAAAGAAATGGCTCTCCTTCTGTTTGACCACATCTAATGCACAGGTATGGAATCTGTTTTCCTTGAGATATTGTTGGACTACATCTGAAGTCCAGGAATGTTTCTTTTCGGGGACAGTGCTCCATGAACTGTTTCACAAATTCCCATGACAGTTAGGTCATGGGAGATATTGGGAGCCGCCATCCCAAAAGGAAACTTTTTCAAGGTCTGACTACAGTTTCTGTGATCACTTCATTTTTGATAACTATTTATGAAAGTTTGCTACTTCTTCATATTTGGTGAAGGAAAAAATTGGGGTTAAAACATTCAGTCATAGGGCAAGCATTCTTGTTGTGTGCCTTGAAGTAATTTCTAACATACGGTGGCACTAAGCAAACCTATTATGGTGTGTTATTGGCAAGATTTTCTCAGGGGGACAGAGAGTGCAACTTTCTCAAGATCTCCCAGTGGGATTCCATGGCCAGGTGGGGACTGAAACCCTGGTGTTTTGATGTAATTGGGCAGTGGTTCTCAACCTGTGGGTCCCCAGGTGTTTTGGCCTACAACTCTTAGAAATCCCAGCCTGTTTACCATCTGTTAGGAGTTCTGGGAGTTGAAGGCCAAAACATCTGTGGACCCACAGGTTGAGAACCACGGTAATTGGTAAATCTGCTCAATAGTTGCTTATTGTTCAATGTAACCACACACCGGTATACCTTCCAAGTGTCCCGATTTAGTGAAGACAGTCATAATGAATTCTCACTTTTGAGCTGCTATTAAAATGTCCCAATTAACCCTCCTCCCAGTTCCCCACTTGGCCCTCAGCTTACTTCAGTGGTTGCACATGGAATTAAAAATGTAAAAGTAGGTTGTACTCATTTAACTCAACAAGGGACAGGGGAGCAGAAGTTTGCTCTTACCAGAAGTACCAGGTGAAAACAAACTACTGCAGCATCCCTTTGCTTAGGTGTTCATCTTCCTTACTGACTACACTCTGATGTTGCTTGGTCATGTAGATCTCAGTTTCCACCTGTGAAATGTTGGGGAATATGTTTCTGTGACTACAGTTGACACAGGATGCTTTATGGATGGGTTTCTCTTTGTATTTGTTTGACCTACTCCTGCCTTTCCATTTTTCACACCCATCTAAATCCAGTGTAGTATTTCACTGGTTCAGAGGAGTATCCAGAGATGTTCCTTCTTGTGTGCAATGATTGGCTATCCTTGAAGCAGAGTGAAAAGTTTGCCTCACCAAGCAAACTCCCAGCCAACTTCACCAAATGGCTTTAGTATTTCAAGCAGGGCACCCAGAGACACAAACATTGGTGCTGAAGGGTTCCCTCACATGGACCATCAGAGTTCAGCAAGAAATGACCTTAAAAGTCCATTTTCTTTTAACAGTGAAGCAACAGCTAATAGCGTATTTATAAAATCTATGTGGCATAACTCTGCGATAGCTTCTGTGTTTACATTGTTCTGAGCTGTACCTGTTTAACCTGATAACAAAAGACTAAAATATGCTATATGCTATGTGAAATGTATTGATTACCAATTTGTTCAGAGTTTGGTGATTTCCCCTCTCCCCTCATAATTTTTTGAAATTGTGCCAGTGTTCTCGTAAGTTTCCATGTGTGTATTTGTGTGTACATGTGCAGAGATGTGGGATGTGTACATCGTACAGTATTTGAGAATTAAGCAACTTGATCCCAAATGGAAAGGGTGGTTGTGTTATCTTTTCTTAATGCTGCATCTGCTTAATTTGTGGAATTTTGAAGTAACATGTATGGTTGAGGGCTAAACCCACTGAGTGTTTAGAACTTTTTATATGCCACCCTGAACCATGGTTTTAGTCTTTGATCATTTTCCTTCACAATACACAAGTTTTTTATTGTAAAGAGGAAAATGAATACTAGGAAAGATTTTTTAAAAAAATCTAATCTACAACCACAGATCTGATAATGGAAAAAATGATTGATAGGTTTTATGGTGACATCATTTAGAAAGTCCTCACAAAATATGAGCCTCATCATCAACATATGTCATTCTACTGCTGGGCTGATTTCAAGGAGAGGAGAAGACAGGAGAGGAGGCAGGCAAATTATGGAGTATTTGAAACTTATATCTAATTTAGAAATTTAGTAATTTTGTCCCTCAATCCTGGGTTTTGAATACATTTTTTTAAAAGTCAACCAATCAAGTATATCTGCTTTATTATTTATTTATTTACTTACCATATTTGTGTCCTGCCATTCTCACCCTGGATGAGACTCAAGGTAGCTTTATAACAGGCAGCAATTCAATACCATATATACATGTATCAAATAAACAATTACAATCAAAACCAAACAATTAAAAGATGAATTATTAAAATATCAATTAAAATCACGCCATCCAAAACCTAATCCAGGACTGTTCCATTTGTCAGCCACATTGATTCGTAGTATCTTATTGCATTTCTCTGATAACTTGTCAAAAGCTTGGTCCCAAAGCCATGTCTTAAGTTTTTTTTCCTGAAGGTCAGGAGAGAAGGGGCTGATCTGATTTCATTGGAGAGGGAGTTCCACAGATGAAGGACCACCACTGAGAAGACCCTGCCTCTTGTCCCCACCAGCTGCACCTGTGAAGGGGGTGGGACTGAGAGGAGGGGCTCCCCAAATGATCTTAATCACCAAGATGGTTCATAGAGGGAGATATATTCAGACAGTTAAGCTGGGCTGGAACCCTTTAGGGCTTTATAGGCCAGCACTTTGAATTGTGCTCGGTAGCAGATAGAAGCAGACTGACAGTGGAGCTGATGTAATGGGGGGGGTGCTCCCTGTACCCCACTCTAGTGAGCAATCTGGACCATTGGACCATTTAAAGCTTCTGAACTGTCTTCAAAGGTAACCCCATGTACAGCATGTTGCAGTAGTCTATTTGGGATGTAACAAGAGTGTGGACTACCATGGCTAAGTCTGACTTCCCAAGGTACGGGTGCAACTGCCGCACAAGTTTTAATTGTGCAAAAGCCCCCATAG